CTACAGAAAATGGGCTAAAAGTGTTAAAAACCGAACTTCTCCTTTAACAGAAACACAGATTCTATGAGTTACATGCCCGTACAAGTAAATGTAAAATAAATAACCTAAATATAACACAGTTTTACAACATTCTAAAGTTTTTCAGTTATTATTCTTTTAATGTCCAAATAATCTGGAAATCTAAATTAACTATAGCAAAAATAAGCAAACAGCACTTGTATTTATTATCATTATGATGTACTGTATCCGGATATAGCGTTTCAGTGTCAATATAAAAAAGGAATTGCTGGTAGGGTTTTGGATTTTCCCACGTGGGAAGTTGCCCAGGGCAGAAACAGAAAGGTAATGAATCAGAGTTTACTATGGAGTAAAACTCACTGCTTCTAGCCGACTCTAAATGCTGCCTGCACATTTCTTCAAAACTGATGTGGTTCCATCGTTTGGCCAACGGACCCATGTGAGCTGAGAGCTACAGCTGGGGTAAATAATTAGCACTGCAAGGAACGGGTTGCCGGTTCAAATACCAGCTCCATCTGTCATTGCTTGTTGAATGTAGTTCTTTGGGGTCCTTGGACTTGAAATGCTTGACATAACAAAGCCATTTACTTACTGGAGTCCATGAAACTCTAAGATGATGAAAAATAGTGTAGTTCTGGGTTTAGGTTGGGTGTTTATAAATCTGACTAACTGCCTGGACCACTTCAAATAAAGATTTCTATTTCCCTATATATCTGTAATGGGAAGTAGCATAATGTTGATGTCATGATTAACCAATTTCATTTTCTATTTTGTGATCATGATGTCAACGTGTTCTGATTGCCACAGGTATCATAATACCGGATTTGTTTGTCAGATTGGATGCAAATTAGGATCCCGTGTTTCGTGGCTGAGAAAATGAGGCTTCATTTATCATATTAGCTGGTTACTCTGAACTGTTCTTCTGTTCAGTGTTTAGAGAAAATGTAGCATAAAAACTGAACTCTGGCTTCTCTCGTCTTATGTTTAAAGATTGGATTTCCTATACTGTTGGCTTGGATTGCAATATTTGACGGTGATTTGCAGGGTGACAGTATGTAAACACTTTACAGTACAGTATTTTAACTCTTCACTTTTATGTTATTCTTATACATTTTTTTAAGGTCCACATTTGTGTTACCATTTTTTCTACATCTGCCGTAAACACTAGAATTTCCCAATTGTTGGACAATGAATGGATTTCTTATTCTGTTCTTTATGATACTGGAGTAATCATGTGTCAGTTCAGTCCTCTTACTAAGGCCCTGGATGAACGTCTCTGTAACTGAAGGAACAGAGGCCTGAGGCTAAAGAAGACTGATTGCAGCTTTTATCATTTCAAAATACTCCAACAGTACTTGCCATTAAATACTGGTTATATACTGAGAAAGATGATTATTAAAAGTAAACAACAGTCACAATAACAACAACAACAAAAAAAGCTGTTTTGGGTAAACGCCAAGCACTAGCAGTATCGCTCTCCTCCTTTGGGTTTTATCGAGGATTGGTGCTGCTAAAGAGCCCAGCTGTATATCTAAGCGTTTAAAGCCTTTGTTGTTGATAGATATTAAGATTTTTTGTATATTCAGATTATTTCTGGGCTTCTGTCAGATTTCTTACCTTTGTTTCATCTGCCTCATCTATGTCTACCTTCAGGTGTCAGCCATGTTTCTGTTACGCTTCCATGTCCCTGCGTGTCTGCGGTAAGATGAAGATGACTTCCTACAGCGGCCCTGTGTCTCTCTGAAGCTGATGGTCTAATTTGGAATGCAGAGCTGATTTTAGCTGCTGCTTCCCACATCGGCACATCTTTGGTCAAGCATGGCTCCTGTTCCTCCTGGGATCCGGCTGCTGGTGTCCTTCAACAGGGACCAATGGTAGGACTCATCAAGGACACTGTCTTAATGAAACCCCTGGTGAAACTTCTAGAGGTAGCAGAGGCAGCAACAGGAGTTTAGATTTGTGTTCTCACCAAGTATGTTTTTGACAGGAACAACGGAAAGTATGAACTTGGGGGGAAAACAGGAGCATGCAGAATAAATCTGGGTCAACTGGAACAGAAACGTACTAGCGACATCATCACATTCAAAGCTAGTCTGGAGCTGCATTTCACCTCCTGTTGTTAAAAGTCTCTTGATAATAATAATTTATGACTTTGTTTTAATTTAGTGAGGGAATATCAATTAACACAGTCAGATAAACACGAATCAAATGAAAGCTTTGCTGGGAAAAAAAAAAACACCATTGAGCCAGCGGTACTTCACACACGGCTATGCTGAGAGAGGGCTGCTGCGAACGGGCTACCGTTATCCCCGGCTGCATTTAGCCTCAGAGCTCCGCTGGTTGCCACGGTCCTCTTAACATCAGAACTTTTTTTAAATTTAGAAAATGTGCCATATAGTGAAGCTAAAAGTATAATTTTCTCGCCTAAAATTATCTTAAAATGTACTTTTATAGAACAAAAGCAACAGAAAAGTGAAGTTTTAAGTCAATACTCTGAGCTCGGTGAGCGCTTCCCTGCAAGCTGCTGCCGCTGCAGTGCATGCTGGGTCAGCTGACAATTTAGAACGGACAAGTCTGCTTTGATGCATGCTTGGTAAAGAGGAAGGGCTAAGAACAACATCCTGGGACCCTGTCATTTCTTGGTCTTGTGTTCTTGTAAATTGGAACAGTGCTGGGGCTGATGATATTTCACAAGCACATGAGAACCCACAAGTACACATATTGAGAAATGACCACTTCTAGCTTCGGTGATTTGAAACAATCAGAAAAGAGGCTTTGGATCTGCTAACAGCATCTCTCTCCTTTATGTTGTGTTTTCCCTGCAGGTATCGGGCTCTTACCTTCATCCTCACCTTCCTCCTCTACACTAGCTTCCACCTCTCCAGGAAACCCATCAGCATAGTAAAGGTGATATTTGTGAATTTATACATACTGTAGATGTTGTTTTAATTTCCTTCCTGACTGAAGACAGCCACACCTCACTGCCCCTGAGCTGCTGTCCTCAGACATGCTCCTCATGTAAACTCATCATCCAAAGCCAGAAGAAAAGGCCGTGTCCACATGGAGGCATGATTAGGTTTAACTGCAAATATATTTTGCTGTTTAAACTGTGTATCCAAATGAAGAGCATAAACAGTCATTTTTAATACAGGTTCCTGAGTGGAAAGATCATTGAATCGCAGTTTTATTTTTCATTTTGAACAATCATGCTTTATCTCTTTATTTTTTACCAATGATGTTTTAGCTCAACTTACCTCTGTAACTTACATTCCAAAAAGTTTCTATGAATTTTCAATGAACACTGAACTCTTTCAGGGGGATTTAGATCAGGAGGACTTTCAGGATCATTTAAAAGAGGGACATTATTCTCCTGGAGTGAGTCCTTTGTCTGACATTTTTTAGAGCATCACTTCAGACCTCCTTCATTTTGTTGCTCAGGGAACATTTCCAGGAT